TTATTTATGTTGATTTATAAAGAAGGAATAAAAAAATTTTCAAAAAGGGAAGAAGAGGGGGGGTGTCCAAAACTTTTTTTTTTTTTTTTTTTTTTTTTTTTTTTTTTTTTTTTTTTTTTTTTTTTTTTTTTTTTTTTTTTTAGCTTTCTTTGCTTGTATTTAGAATATACAACTGCTAACTCTTTTTTTTTCAGCTTGGACAATCGTATATATTGAAGACTATCATTGAAAGTGATGAAGAGCAAATTATGGAGGCATATGATAAAGGTCTCGAGTGTTTGAAACAAGCTTATAAGCTTGATCCAGGTATCTTCTAATCCATTTGAAATCTTGTGTCCAATTGATATAACAGATTCTTTTCAAATAATTTCATTTTCATAGATAATGAAAATTTGAGAGAGCAATTGGAAACACTTGGTGCCCTTATTAAGGATGACAACGTAGAATATTTTGGATGACGATGATTAATTAACGATGATTAATTTGTTTATTTTCAATAAATGTATATTTAATTACGGATAAAGATATTCAAAGCTTAATGGAAGAAATTTTTTGGCAATAAGTACGAATTAAACTTTTATTGATCGGTCAACTATAATGTCCAAAAATAAATTTAATATGATAATTCAAAAAGCCACAATCCGCAAAAAATTTTATCCATTTTTTTTTTAAAAAGTTATATTTGGATATTAATATCTTCGTACAATATATAATTACCACGTGTCAAACCTTATTAATAATAATATGAAGTGATGTGTATTCTTTAATTGTTTATAAATAATGATAAAAAAATACAAAAGAACACTCTTTTACTGGATTTATGATGAATGAATGAATGAAAATTGTTAAATATTATTATCAATTTTACAAATTCAGTAAATTTCAAATCAAAGATACTTACATAGTTTAGACCCCTCAAATAATCCCCCAAGTCTCCCACAACTTTGTTGGCTGCACCGGCTGCCGTACCTTCCTTATAAACACCGATAATTACAGCTTGTGTTGTTTTAAAAGCAACCACGCCATCACCTCCCTAAAATGATGAGAAGAGAGTTGAATCAAAATTGAATTTCGTTTCAATTAATTGGAAATTCCTTCATTACCTTTTTACCATGAACGTTTGTATCATCATGAGAGAGAGCGAAATATTTAATACCATTGACATATAAACCATTAGCTTGAATTTTTTCGGCATTATTAAAAGCCTCAACAAGAGTAGTAATTTCTTCTGGGCTTAACTATTTATATCAAAGAGAAATAGCCAAACATTTAAAAGGATGAGCAAAGTTCGGTATGTTAGTCAAACCTATATTTACTCAAAAATGTTTGACCTTTTATTTTTTACTTTCGAAAAGTTTTTTCGCGTCAAAAAAGACGATTCTAAATTCGTATGGTGAATACTTACGGAGAAGCCGGGTGAAGTTGCCCACAAAGAACCGTTATGCCCATAAATAGCAGCTTGGACAATTTTACCTGTTCCAATAAGTTGGTTGTCTACGTAAGATTGCCACGACATTTCTTATATTTTCAGATGAACAGGCTTATAACAAAAAAAAGTTGTTAATTCTACTGTAAGGAGAAAAGCAAAAAAAAAAAAAAAAAAAAAAAAAAAAAAAAAAAAGGTTAATAAATTAAAAACTTTTGAAAACAACAAAAAGAATCCCCACCTTAACCCCATTATGT